ACCACTGTCTAAGTTGAGGAACATGTTATGGCAATTGCATGAAGTAGGGTTTAACTGAGGATGTTTTGGCGACTGTAGATATGGCTGAGTGCATAGTCTGGGCATAATTTCAGAGCCAGGGAGCAGAATACCCAACAACTACGAATATACCCTATCTTATTCGGGGCTTCATTGTATGGTTTAAGAACCAAAACCCTAAACCCTAAACCGTTAAGCCCTAAGCCCTGAAGTAAGGGGTATTGGGCTCTCTGGGCTTACTCTTGAGGGATCCTGGGGCGCCTTGGGGTTTAGGATCCAGGGGATCCAGGGCTTGCTTATGGTCACTACCCAGACCCCCAAAAGGATCTAAAAAATAGAGCCCCTAATTAGCGTTTCTAACTACTAAAGGGTACTTTATAGGAACCCCCTTAGGGGATCTATTTTTTAGATCCTTTTGGGGTTTGGGTATAGGGGCTCCTTGAAGCGTTCCATGAGGGTCACTATATGGGTTACTGTAAGGGTTTCGGGTTTAGGAGTTTAGGGCTTACATCATCCTTGAAGGGTTCCATGAGGGTCACTATATGGGTTACCATAAAGGTTTCGGGTTTAGGAGTTTAGGGCTTACATAAGTGCTGCACGGACTTTGTCACGCAAAGTTACAACTGGGGTTATAGGTGCCCCAAGTAGGGTAATCCTGACTATACCCTTACTTTCAGCCTAACTGGCTAAGTCCCATGAGCCCTAAACCCTAAACCCTAGTAAGGGTTTGGGGTTTAGAGTGAGGAGTCTTCCAACAGCAGGTGATGCCCAGTCAGCTGAAATCCAGCGCTACGAGTTCATCTCGCGGAAGGCCCTAACTGTTTAGGGTTTAGGGTTTAGAGTTTAGGGTTTAGAGTTTAGGGTTTAGTGTTTAGGGTTTGGGTTTAGGGCGAGGGAAAGAAATTTCCGCACCTTGCGAAAGGTGTTATGTCACCTTTATCGGAGATGTCAGGGTTCTGTAATGCGTCAAGCAATACGTAGTTTCCCAATAACCAACCTTTAGACTTTTTGGGTTCTTATAATTTAGCAGTGATCTGAAAGTTTAACTTTTATTTCCCTGGCTTATTGGGGAAGTAAGGGGTTCTGTAATGTTTCATGCGATACATAGACAGCTAACTTACACTTACCTGTCGACCCGGATTTGCTTAAACCTTACATCAAGCCAGGAATTGAGCACTTTGCCAAAGCCTTTGTGTATGATCTATACAAACTCTAAACCCAAAGCCCTAAACCCTAAACTCTAAACCCTAAGCCCTCAACTCCAAACCCCAAGCCCTATAAACCCTAAACCCGAAACCGTAATAAAGCTCCCTAAACCCTAAACCCTAAACCCTAAACCCTAAACCCGAAACCGTAATAAAGCTCAAGCCCTCAGCTCGGAAGTTCACAAGCCCTGAACCCTAAACCCTGAACCCGCGGTCTAGGGTTTAGGGTTTAGGGTTTAGGGTTTAGGGTCTAGGGTTGAAAGCTTGAAGCCCAAAGCGCGGCTCTGGATCGCTTAGAACTTCAGGTTGGCCGCTTGAAAGTTTGAGGTTTCGGGTGAAGGGTGTGGGTTTAAGGGTTTAGGGTTTAAGGNNTTTGTGCGCCAAATGTAGAGTTCTGTACCATGAATAATGCTCCCCGTATTCCCCCTATAAAACTAGACTGCCACATACCCCAAAGTGTAGTCTTCTGCGTAGGATTTCCGGTTGGCGAACTGGGGCTGGCTTCAATGGGTGTGAGAAGTCTTCGTGTGCTTTCAAAACCTGCCAAGACTGCTTGAGTGGCGAGTGATAGTAGTGGTTACCCTAAACCTTTAGGGGCAGTGGTACTAGTGTGCACTAGTAGTAGTAGTAGTAGTAGTAGTAGTAGTAGTAGCAGCAGCAGCAGTAGTAGCAGCAGCAGCAGCAGCAGTAGTAGTAGTAGTAGTAGTAGTAGTAGTAGTAGTAAAAGTAGTAGGAGTAGGA